AAATAACATTCCTAGAACATTGCAGGGTGGTTATTTTTAAAATAACCTAAAAACAACTTATACAGAACATTCCCTATTCAGGTTATTTTTATAACCCTGTAAAACTATCTTTCCAATGAAAACGTTACAGCTGTTTTTTTTGTGTGTAATGTCCTGCAGAGCCCTGAAATTCGTTTAATGCAGCATTTACGAAAATACAGAAATAATAACAGTAATCATACAGGAACAAAGATGTTAGGGAAACATTCTAATAATGTTATACAAACCAAAAACTAACGTTCTATTTCCGCTAAGAAAACTTTCCTGACTAACCAAAAACGTCTCAGGTTACTTATGTAACCATGGTTCCCTGAGTAGGGAACGAGACACTGCGTCCTCCAAAACAATTGCCATAGTAAATACTTTTTGTATTTTCGAAAGAAATACTTTTTGTACGCGAAAACAAAAATAACGACTTTATTCAACAATTCGTCTCCTCTGTGTCCCTCCGCATCACCGTAGTGCCATTTTGGAGAATATCCACTGAACTCAAGCCAGCTTTTACGGGTTTGGAACGACATGGCGGTAAGTGATTAATGACAAAATTTTCATTTTGGGGTGGCGTATCCCTTTAAGTTAATGTCAATTAGCCGGAGTAAACTGTAGGTGAACAGAGAAGCATAATAACTTTTATATGTTCCACTGCTTCTTTATCGCAAGTTAGCGCAGACAGACATAACGTAACGTTAACAGCAAGCTAACGTGAAACACTGAGGAAAACGTCTTTTGTTTTTTATTTTCAATTAAAGCAGTTAAAAAGCAACACTGAATGTGTTTTGCGGAACATTGTTTTGGCTGTTCTTATATAGTGCATCTATAACACAGTATATTAAAATATATGGAAGTTAGCTTTAAACATATCTTAAATAACACTTCACATGCTTAAAGTTGTTCCAAAATAAGACATTTATTTTGGAACCATTCTTTTTTAGTACAATTTAAAAATTCATATAAAATCTGGGCTCTCTCTCTTCTTCATTCTTTAATGTCTATTTTATATTGTTCTCCTCTTAAATTCCTCTTCTTTTTCTCTCTTTATCATGATTCTCTCTTTCTTCCTCCATCTTCATGTTCATTTTCTCTATCTCTTGTTTAAGATTCTGATTATATTCATCCCACATTGCCTGTTCTCTCTTTCTCCATTTCTCCTCCTCTTCTTCTCTTTGTCTTGCTTCTTGTGTCTGTTTCTCCCATTCCTCTCGTTTTCTCTTCAGCTCCTCTCGTATCTTTCTCGCTTGTTCCTCTATGTCTTTAATGTCTCTTTTATTTCGTTCTTCTCTCTCTCTAAATTCTTCTTCTCTTCTCTTTCTCTCTATCTCATGATTCTGTCGTTCTTCCTCCATCTTCATCTTCATCCTCTTTTTCTCTTCTTCATGTTTGTTCACCAGTTCTTCTTTTTCTCTGTTCACTTGCTCCACTCTCTCCATCAGTATCTTCATCTGTTGTTCTTGTATTTCTCTTTCCATCTCTCTGAACATCTTACATGAGTAGTAGCTCCCTCCGTTTGCTTTCACCATGTTGTCTATCTTCTCCAGTAGATCAGTCACCTGTGTTCGGTCTCCAGTCTCTTTATTATTGAACACATGGAATCTGTTTCCACACGTTTCCATCAAGTTTATCAAAGGTGAACCAGGTTTTCCCAGATACTGTTCAATGGTTTTGTTCTGCAGAAAGTCTCCTCTGGTGAAGAGCACAATAGTGAACATTAATGAGTTTTCACCAAACGTCTCTTGGATGATTTTCACTGCTGTTTGTTCTTCTTGAGTGAATCGTCCCAGTGGAATCAGTAAGAGAAACACATGTGGTCCAGGCAGGATCATAGAGATGCAGTTACTCATTTCTCTCTGGATCTGTTCATTACGGAGTTCAGTATCAAACAGTCCTGGAGTGTCGATCACAGTAATGTGTCTGCTGCTGATTTCAGCTTTCTCTCTACGACACTCTTTAGTAACAGATGTTTGAGAAATGTCTGAAATAAATGTGTTTCTTCCTAAGATGGTGTTTCCAGTTGAACTCTTCCCAGCTCCAGTTTTTCCCAGCAGCACAATCCTCAGATCATCTTCTCTTACTCTTGAATCTAAAGATAGATTTAAAACAAGAAACCATAAAGAAACATTAAAAACAACATATTGAATTTCAGGTGAAGACTGTCAATTATCCAGATCATCACAGAATATTGTGTGTAATTTATACTGAAGCATCATGAGGTATTATATAATTTCTTCTGAACTCTGCATTTAATGTTATTGTTTTGTCTCCGAAATCTGTGTAGACTTCAGCAATCATGAAAAGTGATTAATCAATGCAGATTTCCCGATCATTACCTTGTGACTGAAACCACGTCTCTAATGATTGAATTCTCCTCTTCATTTCTTCAAATTTCTGCAGTTTCTCCATCTGTGCCTCCATCAGTGTCTCTGTGGAGAAACAAACACCACTATTTTCCTCAACCATCTGCTCCAGTTTCTCCATCAGCTCAGACACTTGTGTGTTCAGGTCAATGAAATGATGTCGTCCTCCAAATCTCTCAATGAGTGTTTGTTGATTCTTGAGCTGAAGATCCTCTGGATCTCCTCCATTTCTGCTTTGTCTTCATTATTAAGTGGAGCATCAGGAATGATGAGGATGAACACATGAACTCCAGGATGACAGAGAGACACACAGCGGTGAGTCTGACGCATCACGTCCTCCTCTGAGAGCTGAGTGTTGAACAGAGCTGGAAGCTCCAGCAGACTGATCAGACGTCCATCAAGCTCCACGTCTCTCCTCACACACTCTGAGCTCAGCTCGGATCTTCTCTCGCTCTGCTTCAGGATCAGGTTTGATGTGAAGGATTTTAATTCACTGTTACTCCCACACACAACCAGATTCAGCTTCACACCCTCTGGATCTGAAGGAATACACTAGATTAACAACGTGGTTTGAACTTAACAGTTAGATTAATGCTGCATTCACATGACGTTGGAATTACAGAAATCTGGCTACAAAAAGTTTTTAAAAGCCATCAGAGCTTGCTGTTACTAAGTACTGACCATCTAGGGTGCCCAAACTTGCTTCAGGCCCTTTTCATTATTTTTTTTTGTTGTTATTTTGAAATTGTAAACTATGGAAATAAAAACTAATCTTGCTTGAAATTTTAAAGAAATGTGTGATCTTTAACTTTTGGGAGTCAGATTATCTTTTACTCAGTTAGCTATTGACAGGAACAGAAATGTTGATATAGGGTGCCCAAACTTTTGCATGCTACTCTAAGTTTTTGCATAGTAACAAAATCTTTATTATTTGGATTCAGTTGTCCAGCACATCTCAGTGCAATGCAATGGTATTGATGGTATATACAGTAATGAGCCATATACTGTTATAATGTGTATCAAAGTGATGGAAACAAAAAGTAATAAGAGCTTTTCAGGTGCTCAAACTGGGATGTTTGAGACTAAATCAGTTACCTGACATGAATCCCACTGACCATACATTTTACTTTCTGAAGAAAAGGCTAAAGGTAAAAAGAAAAATGCAGGAGCTAAAACAGGCAGTAAAGGTAGCAGAGCATCACAACAAGGGAAGTAAGTTGCTTAAGACTGGAATACACTACACAACTTTTAAGATCTGAACAGATTTTAAAACACTGGGTAAAAATCTGGGCAGAAGTCATGTAGTGTATTCCAGCCTTTAGGGTCTGGTGCTGTCTAGAGAATATAGACTTTAGCCAGTCATTAGTTGCAAAAGATTCAACAATTTTGCTCACAAAAAATTATTAAGATTATATTTTGGAGTCCATTTCTCTCCTTGAAATAGATAGCTTATGTATAAAAAGTTTTTATTCATATGTGGTTCTGCTCATTAGAGTTAAATATCCTTTTAATCTTCTCCATTTCTGCTCGGTCTTCATTAGTAAGTGGAGTGACAGGAGTAACGAGGATGAAAAGATGAACTCCAGGATCACAGAGAGACACACAGCGGTGAGTCTGACGCATCACTTCCTCCTCTGAGAGACGAGAGAGAGCTGGAAGCTCTGTAACACTGAACTGATGTCCATCAATCATTCCATCTCTCTTTTGATACACTTTTCTCATCCCTTTCTGGGGGAGAGAAGTGAGAGGTTTACTTGTTACCCCTCTAAGCATTCTAGACACTGAGTTCTTGAGTGTTGAATTATTTCCACACAGCACAATGTTCAGCTTTGATTTCTCAGTAGTCATCACTAAAAAGATTAATTAGAAACAGTAGATTTAGTCCAACTTTGCTACCAAATGTATACTTCATTAAACAACAACAAAACTATTATATTGCCACACTGTTGTTTTCTGATCCATTCTTTCCTATCAGCACAATCCTCAGATCACTCACTGAAAAAGACACATAAACATAAACGAAATGTAATAATAAAAAAAGCACAATCATCACTTAATAATTTCATATTAAAAATTCTACAGAATTACCAGATTTAACACAAGACACTAGTAGTAATGTTACAATATCAAGCAACCCTTTCAGAAGCTTCAGAACATCTATGAAAGATTTATCATGAAGAGTTATCATCAATAATTATATTGACGTACTATTGGGATGATCATTACTTGGACTTTTACACATTTTGTTCACTAAAAATAAAAGAATGGCAGCTGCATAGAGTCCGGTGAGCATCAGGAGCCGCTAACACTTGTTCAGTACAGTAACCAGTACAGTAGGCTCTCCGTGGGCCTCAATCATTTCTCTGGTAACCACTTTGAAATTCTGCTTAGGGCCCCAAAAATGCTAGTCCTCAGTAAACCGACTGATCTCACAGGGAATCACCGATAGGAGGAATTATAGCCTCTGCTTTCAGAACATCAAACTGCCCCCTGAATCTTCACTACGAAGGATTCTGTCAAGCTTTGGAAATATTCAGATGTCTTCTTGTGTTTGAATGGCACAGAAACAGCTTCAACTTCAATACACGGAGATATTTTTTGCTCTACACTCAAGGCTACTGTATCAAAAGTGCTGTCTGACGTCTCTGATGTCACAAATGAGATCTCAGCTATGATGGACTGGAATATTTTTCAATCAGTGACAACTTACACCAATCTGTTCCTCAAACAAAGTTACTGTATGGGTTCAGAAGACTTGAAATTCAGGCCCAGATCTGTCTGGACGGGTTTTATGGTACTTTTATGATGGCTTTTGTCATTTTTGGAGAATGAGGGTGAAAGTCAGTGTCTACCTTCATTTTAGAAAAAGAGCATCTTTCATTGAAAACAAATAAATACAGTGCACTCTAAAATGATAAGTAGTGTACTGCATGGCTGAAGTAGTTCCAGGTCTGTTTACTGCGTTATAGTTCTATACGACTATAATTTCAATATGTTGCTTCAGAATTATACTCATTGTGAAACGTGCTTTACAGATAAATCTGAAGTTCATGTTTGATTGTAATGATTTTTATTTATTTTTTTTACATTTTAATTAAATGTTATTTTAAAGAGGGTAGAAAAAAAACTTAATTTGACAAATATTTCCACATATAATATTCTTAAATTTGCTCTGGCTGTACTGTGGCAATATAAAAGCCAATTACTTAATTAAAAGGAAAAAGATCATTTATATTTATACTTATAAGACGATGCCTAATATTTCTCACACAGCATAAGTTGGTCTTTCTATGCATGTGAAAATATAGCTGATTTTATCATTTGGGAAGGTAATTATTTCTATTGCAAGGGTATTATTATATTTGGGGTCTTTCTAATCAAACAGTTTGAAAAACCACTGATCTACATCGCATTCTGTCTCTCTCACAACGAGACATTTAAACACAAGTAACTTTATAAATAAAACACACATACGCGAGTAATTCACATTCACAGTTTTTTTTTTTTTACATAAATAAAAAATTACATTTTGACATATTGGGACTAATCATTATTTTTATTTTTGGGTGAACTATATTTTAATTAGTAAAACACAATATTACAACACATAAATGTTTGACACATCTTAGTATTACTGCCAGTGATTTAAAGGGGTGGTTGAACTGCCAGAATTTTAAAAGAGGATATCTCCGTTTGCATTGAACTTTCAGCTTCGTAACTTTGCAGATATTGTTTATGATCAAACAGCAACATTACACACTAACTAACGTTAAAAAAGTGAAATCGCAATCAACCACCCCTTTAATTTACTTACTGTCAGGACGAACAAGATCTGGACTATGTCTACGTCTACCTGCTGCTGCTAGAGAAGAACAATCACACACACACACACACACACACAGAGAGAGAGAGAGAGAACAGATAGTTTATCCATTATAAATCGTTTTAAAAAGCATGTGCACTGAAAACCTGTGACTTCACAAAGTTATTGATACACACAGATCAAAATAAGGAAATTATGATTTTTCTTATTTTCAGAACATCTACAGTGTGTCAAAATTACACTTCAGCTCACAGGTACTGCAATGATCTACGCAGCCTACATATAATATTAATAAACAGGCTTTTGCCACAAATCAACAAAGATAAGTGTAAAGAATCACAGCCTAATGAAAGACACCTCTTCCTGGTGTTCAGTGCCACGATTAAACATAAATGTAAGCAGTGAAATAGCATTCAATAAACTAAATTAAGTTAACAACTGTCTACAGTTGGCTAATATTTCATAAGCAATTCATAAACGGAGGAAACGTGGCGGCATATATTTGTATCCAATTTGATTCTTACCTGAACTTGACGCCATTTTCACAGCAACACAAATCGAAATCGAAATCGAAAGAAAAGCACTGATAAAGAGCTGACCTGCGCCCCGCCTGCAGAGACTGGGAAAATAACATACTATGCTCCTTGTGAAACGTGCTTTACAGATAAATCTGAATTTCATGTTTGATTGTAATGATTTTTTTTTTTTTATGAAACTTTCTGCGTCCATTCATTTTCCTTCTTTAAACCAGAAATGAAATACGGAAGATGCGGTTTCTTCTTTAACTGCTCTGATGAAAGCAGATAAACTCTTAAAAATGATTTTTAATTTAGATGAAGCAGCTTCTGGGTGTTAGTTCCATCTCTATGATTTCTCATTCATAATCGCTGAACTCATGCAGACGCGCTGCTGGAAGAGGTTTGGTGTCTTTGCGTGATTCAGCCAGATGGTGGCGCTGTAATGTTGAATTAAAAAGTACAAACACACAGAACGGGATTTTATTGTATTCTGTGTCATCTGTGCAGAAGCATTCAAGAAAGCTTTTCATTGCATTTTGTATATGATATTTGTACACACGACTTGAACTAGACGCTTGAAGAAGCTGGGTAAAAATATACATATAACACTTAATTTTCTATTTAAATTAATAGTTTGTACAAAATGACATTACTAAACTCTGTCAACAATTACCCCAGCAAACACAGAACGTTCCTCTAACGTTAGTTTTTGGTTCCCGTTTGGTTATTTTTTTTGGGAACCAACTACTAACCTTAAGGGGGGGAAAAAAAATTTTAGGTTATAATTTTTTGTAACCATAAAATAACATTCCTAGAACGTTGCATGGTGGTTATTTAAAAAAAAAATTTTTTTTTACTTTTTTTTAAAATAATTTATTATTTTTAAAATGACCTAAAAACAACTTATACAGAACATTCCCTATTCAGGTTATTTTTATAACCCTGTAAAACTATCTTTCCAATGAAAACGTTACAGATGTTTTTTTTGTGTGTAATGTCCTGCAGAGCCCTGAAATTCGTTTAATGCAGCATTTACTAAAATAGAGAAATAATAACAGTAATCATATAGGAACAAAGATGTTAGGGAAACGTTCTAATAACGTTATACAAACCAAAAACTAACGTTCTATTTCCGCTAAGAAAACTTTCCTGACTAACCAAAAACAAACCATAACAAAATAACGTTTGTTAGCTGGGACTCACCCTCACATTGTTCCAAACTCTTTAAGACTAGCGTTCATCTTTGAAACAAAAACAGGTATTTTAATGAAACCTGAGTGATTTGTGTTCCTCAGTTGAAGCTCAATTTACCCAACAAGTTCACGTTTCAATAAGTTCATAAAGACATGGCAAAAGTAATCCATATGAATCGAGTTTTTATCCAAGTCCCCTGAAGAGTCACGATCGCTCTATGTGATTTAACAGATTTAGTTTAGATTTTTATTCACATTAATTAACTCACATACACGGAGCACAGCAAGACCAGAGCCGTTGAGCCGTTGACATTTGAATTCAACGGCTCTGATCAAAACTAATCTGGCGCGCTTGATGCGTTAGAACCAATCAGATTTAGTCTCGCGTGTGACGCAAGCACGTCTGAGCCGGAGCCGTTTTGTTTTCGCGCTTCAAGTAAATATAGCAATTTTAAGCATATCTTTGGAAAACTGATTTATGTTATATTTATAACATAAAATATACCATAAATCAATTTTATTTATGTTTATATGATGGTGAAATGCTTGTGGGAAATATCTCAGGTGTTCAGTGTTTATATATGCGCACAGTTAAATGATTCTGATTAACCCTTAATAGATCATGTCAAAATATATATGGAGGTTGATTACAGTTATTATTCTGTATACAAAGAACACGTTTCATATTTTATTTTGTGTAAAATTACAGTAACATTACAAATGCACACTACAATACTTCATATGTACAATAATAATACTGAATAATATTAAAAGCGAGTTCTTGCAGGACACATTATTTGCCTACATCACAGGGCTGAAGAAACACTGCATTTTACAGGTTTTGTTCAAACCTCAGGTTGTAATGTCATTAATAAAACATGCATAAATGCACTTAAATAAAGCGTTTGCTCTAGTCTCGGTTATTCTGTGATTACAGGGAATAATCAGGCTTTTGAAATGCAGATGAACATTATTAATACTGTTAATATCTGATGCATCGAGGGTTTAAAGCTCTTCGGTCAATGCTGAATGAACAGCTTTAGAGTTGAGAAACGCTCCTCGTCTTCCTCTGGTTTGGCACCCTGATCTCGGGCTGGTCTGGGGTCAGTTGAGCTGCTGTTCAGAGTCGATGTCTGTGTAGATATTACTGGCGATATGAGTCAGATCCAGACTCTGGGTCAACATCACCGACAGAACCTCGTCCGCCTGGATGCCCTCGATGAACTCATCCAGAGACAGCTCGCCTGAACACACACACAGATACATATGTAAATCACATCGCTTCATTTGCATATTTAAATAGCACACATAGACAGATTACCGTCTCCGTTAACGTCGATCTTGTTAAACACCATGTCAGTCAATTCCTCCGCGGAAAACTCCTGCTCTACTCCGTTAATGGCTTCAATGGCCTGGAGCCGAAAAACATCAACAACAAAAGACAAAAGTGAGTTCTGTGGAATAAGACTCACCAGCAGGTGGCGCTGAAGAAAAACAAAGGTGCCACTGATTTAAAGGGACAGTTCACCCAAAAATGAAACTCCTCCTTCAGATCATCATTTCTCACCCTCAAGTTGTTCCAAAGCTGTAAGAAGATATTTTGAAGAATGTTGGGAACCAAGCAGTTGACATTAGCCGTTGACTTCCATAGTATGGCGAAAAATACTATAGAAGCTAATGCTACCGTCAACTGTTTGATTCCGAACATTCTTCAAATTATCATCTTTTATGTTAAACAGAAGAACGAAGCTCTTACAGGTTTGGAACAACTTGAGGGTGAGAAATGATAACGGTTTTCATTTGTGGGTGAGCTATGCACAGTTTAATGTGGATTCAGTGACACCAGCAGGTGGCGCTCAAGAGAAACACAGACGCCACTGAAGTCATCAGATACCTTGAAGATGAGCAGCAGCTCCTCGCGGTCGATGCAGCCGCTGCCGTCCACGTCGAACAGCTTGAAGTACCAGCGCAGTTTCTGCTGAACGCCACCCTTCAGAACCAAACTCAGAGCAGCCACATACTCCATGAAATCAATGCAGCCGTCCTGACGACATAATAAAACATATCAACTTATAACACTGGAAACAGTTATGATCCGTTTCCAGTGTCCTCTTCAAACTAAATTCAAGTAAAGTGTATTTTAAAGTTTAAGGCTTCAAATAGCTTTCGTGAAAATAAAATGTCAAAATACGGGTGAAATAATGTTCCATCGTCATTCAGTGCAACAGATATATTTATGTAGAAATGAAGACATATTATTCTGACCTGTATTTATTAAAATATGGTCCCACTTTATATTAAGTGGCTTTAACTACTATGTACTTACATTTAAACTAATCATTTGGTACAATGCACTTATTGTGTACATACATGTGTTTACATTGTACTTATATTTGAAAAAATATCTGCATGTAATTACATCTGTAATTAATTTATGTAATTCCATTTATAATTACACTGTAGACCCATCCCTTACAGCTTAACCCACCCTTAAACCTACCCATACCACCAAACCTGTCCCTAACCTTGCCCATATCCCACCTCAATAGCAGCAAAAGTGGGCCCAGTAAATAAAAGCAGAAGTGTTTTGCAATACAATATGAACACAGTAAGTACATTGCACTTATTTTTTGATGTAAATACATAGTAGTTAAGGCCACTTAATATAAAGTGGGACCAAAAATATAAAAGAAAAAGAGATCATACTAAATTTTAGCAAATTTTAAATTGTTTGAAAGTTCTTGCCGATAAATTTGTAAAACCTAGTGGTTTGAAGGATAGTGGCAAAGATTGGTAAAGATTTAAAATGACAATTAATTAGTTTTTGGGGGATGTGGGGGGGGGTAATTAGACTTAAATAGTCTTTTAGTGTCATCCAATGATTCTTGCTCTTCCTGACAAGATTTTTACACTGAATGTCTTCTGTAAATCATCAGGTTGAGGTTTGCCTATCTATCTATCTATCTATCTATCTATCTGTCTGTCTGTCTGTCT